ATGCATAAGTTCTTCCTTCGTCAAGATGCAGCCGAGTTTTTACAGTTCCAAGCTTCCGGGAGCAACTTGAAGTCAAACCCCAGCTAAACCCTAAACCCTAAACCCTAAACCCTAAACCCCTAAACTTAGGGTTTAGGCATTCAGGGTTTAGGTGTGCAGGAGTTCAGGTGTTTAGGGATAGGGATTTTACAGGTCTGAGTTTGCTGGTTTCTAGGGGCTGCGGGGTTCAGGGTTTTCAGGGTTTAGGGCTTCGGGTTCAGGGTTTAGGGTTTAGGGTTCAGGGTTTGGGTGTTTAGGAGTTCAGGTGTTTAGGGCTCAGGGTTTAGGGTTCTAGGATCATCAGGGATCTCATTTGGCTTTGGTTTGCAGCTGTTGAGGGTTGAACCCTAAACCCGTCGGCATTCGCATGCCTCAGTTCTTAAGGAGGTCCGACTGAAGGTTCAGGTCCAACCTGTGCAAATTAGGGTTTAGGGCTTAGGGTCTTAACTTTGTGAGTTTGTAGAGCTTTATGCTGCGATGCAGTCCCCTACAAATGTGCCCAAAGCATCACGGAGACATACGCGTAATTGCGCAGAGCTTTATCTAATAATGCTTGTTGCCCCGAATCGTACAGGGGTCTTAATTAATAATTAGAAAAGTGTTTGGGGGTTCCTTATTATATAGTTCTAGTATATTGGGCCCCCAAACCCTATTCCAATTGTTATGGCCCCTGCAGTACGCGCGATCCTCCAAAACGCCCGACTTTGTCCATAATCCGGCAAAGATGGAACCCCAAACCCTAAACCCCAAGTTCTAAACCCTAAGCCCTAAACCCCAAGTTCTAAACCCTAAACCCTAAACTCTGAACCCTAAGCTTCTTTACTGGGTCAGGGAACACAGAAAGTGAGCAGAGTGACCCAGGATTGCCGTAGCCAACAGCCACCTGGACCCACAGCCTCTGGATGTGCTGAAGGCAGAGGCGGCGGGGTGGTTCACAGTTCGGGCTCCAACCCGAAACCCCTAAACCCCTAAACCCCTAAACTCCTAAACTCCTAAATTCATAAACCGTAAACCTCTAAACCCTAAACCCCCTAAACCCTAAACCCTAAACCCCTAGATCCATAAACCGTAAACCCTCTGAACCGTGAGTTCCAACTATGGCAGATATCTGCCTACTAGCTGGAAGGCAACCCTTTCCTTCTTTGGGGCCTAGACAACTACCAATACTTATTCAGGGTTTAGGGTTTAGGGTTTCTTGTTCAGAGTGTAGGGCTAATTGCCGATACATTCCAGTACCATGTATGCGGTTCCTCCTGACAGTTAGTAGTCTGAGATAATTACCCCACAACCCTATTCTAAATGTCAAGGCCCCTAAACCCCAAACCCTAAACCCTAAACCCTAAACCCTAAACCCTAAACCCTAACCCCTAAACCCTAAACCTTAAACCGTGAGGACCAGGGATCCCCTGAAGGTATCCGAAAGCAGCCCGCAGGTCAACGCCGTCGAAGGGGTCCGTGTCTCCGTCGTGCGCACCCTACTTGATGCTACTGCGCTGTGGTTAAGGAATTCTTTGGGGTTTAGGATTTAGGATTTAGGGTTTAGGGCTTAGGATTTTAGTTACCATAACAGGGAATTAAGGTAACTAACAAGGTGTCCTCAGTATATTAACTCAATTTAAGTTCATTAACAGCAACCTAGGCTAGAGCCGAGATCGACTGTGACGATGCGGGAGAGTCGGTCCTTTCTGTGGCGGCAAAGCTGGGAAACTCGGTTGACCTGGCATCTTGTTTATTTGTCTCGGCGACGGTTTAGGGTTTAGGGCTTAGGGTTTTATATAAGAAAGCTGATTTTTTAAATCCCACGGTGTTGAACAAGTCAGGAAATGCACAGATCATGCAGCTCCTGCTGGAGTCGACTCCGCCTGACAGCGGCGTTGCAGCACATTGCCTTTCCCAGCCTGCATGGAAGGCTTCCGCAGAGGGTCACGATGACATCGTCCGAATGCTGCTCAAGGCAGGTGCGGACAAGAATTGGGCCAACGGCGTCTTGTCCTTCTTTCAGGATCGGGTCCTGGAGCCTTAATGTTGGGGCCTCAAGAATTAGAATAAGGTTTTGGGCTATGTTGTACTATAACTATAAACAGGAACCCCCCAAAATAGTTTAGGTAATTATGAAGGCCCCTATTTTATACACTGTTACACCCTAAGTCTGAGAACAAAGCCTGGCTGTTCCTGCACCCGCTAAGCCCTAAGTCCTAAACCTGTATAAGCCCCAAACCTATAGACCATAAGTCCTACACCCTTAAACAACCCTAAACCCTAAACCAAGATCTATAAACCCCGAACCCCAAACCGTAGCTCACGACCCCTGATCCTTAAGACCGCTCTGCGGCTCGAACGGATAGTCGTAGACCCGGAGAGTCAGATTGCAATGAAAACCTGATGGACCTAATGTGGAGTGGTAGGGTTTAGGGTTTTGGGTTTGGGGTCGTAATCGTTCCGTTTAAGGGTTCCTTAATCATTTGAACAGGGTTCCTTTATGAAGTTCCTTTCAGGAGTTTGTTTAAGATTTTCTATGAAAGTTTCATGACTGGAGTATAGAGCTTGACGGTATAGTCTAGTCTACTTAATGCAAGGTGCCGAAACGAGAGAACTGTAATACTACGGTTGATGATATAAATCCTGCAGTACCCGCAATAAGGAACATACCAAAATTTTCCATAGTTTAGGGTCCTTAAGGTAATGCTGGATTTATATCATCAACAGTACTTTTTTTCAGGGGAGAGTGGAAAGCCAAGATGAAACAACCATCGAAAGCCCCCAGACTCAGCCCCTGCCAGCAGTACGGGGTTTAGGGTTTCGGGTTTAGTACATCCTAGAATCCTACACCTTTAGCAGGGTTTAGGGATTAGGGTTTACTATAGTGTTTAGGGTTTAGGGTTTCGCGTTTAGGGAAATCTTTAAACCCCTCTGAAACCCTCATGATCTCCCAAACCCAATCACCCTAAACTCTAATCCCCTGAAATGCTCTGAACCCTGAACCCTCGTGTCTTGCTCTTTTCTCTGGGGTTTTATAGGATTTACATTGCACCCTGTTAGAACCATGAACCCTGAACTCGTTTTGCTATTTTCTCTTTTTTTAGGGTTTAGGATTTGCCTTCAACCCTGAACCTGGATGGTAGTTTTTGGCCCTAAGCCCTAAACCCTAAATCGCAGCCTAGGCCAAGGCGAGTCCTTGCTGTGGAGCGCCGCAAAGAAGGGCTTCACACGGGTCGCGCAGGTGCTGCTGCACGCAGGCAGGTTGGCGCCGAACACAATCCGGTCTTAGGCTTTAATTAGGGCTCTATGGCATCCAACCCTCAACCCTAAACCCTAAACCCTAAGAGGGTTTAGGGCTCACGCCTTCGGGGTTTGTCAGACTTTGGCGGCTAGTCTGGGTCTAGATACTTGTTGCCGAAATCCGCGGAAGCCATGAACTCATACCGCTGAAGCCCTCAACCCTCAACACCAAGCGCTAAACCACAACCTAAAACCCTAAACCCCAAACCCCAAACCCTAAACACAAAACCCTAAACCCCTACGCCCTAAAAACCCTGAAGCCCTAAGCCAAGACAACCTAAACCTCAAACCTAAAAACCCCCTTGGGTTTAGACCCCAAACCCAAAACCCAAAAAACC